TTCATTTAAGAAGGCAGTTAAAACTATGTTATTATCTAAGTATTGTCGTGTGTAATTGCACTGTATTCATGTTCTTGTGTACAGTGACTGTATATTCAATAATGATGTGTACTCGTCCATGACCTAGCATCGTTTAGCCATTTTATGAATGAACCTGCATTCAATCAGCAGATGTACGAGATTTATTGTGTTATTACCAACGCTCCTTCTCTCCCCTTTCCTTTTCTTCTCTGCAAGTCAGTCTTTTCTATTTGTATTTGTTATTGTTGTTGTATCTAAGTTGAGGGCTGCGGGCACGTCAAGCTACTTTGCTTATTTCTGTAGCCCTCCTGCATCTAATGTATGTTAATTATGCATTCAATATATTTGTTTAAATTCGTTCATTATCTGTATAAAATTATATACACTTAAAATATTGTATCAAACCATATTATGTTCATGAAAATGTATGATGAAAAAAGAAGAAAAAAAAAGATGCAGAAACCAAACCAATAAATCAAATTAATGGCAACTACCATGGTAACAGGGCTCAACATCCAATTATATTCAAGGTTTCCATGGTAGTTACAGTTGATGGCAAAGTTGTCATCATTGGTAAGTTTTGTGCAACGGGGCCCAGAATCGGTGATTGATCGCTAGATAACAACACTGCAAAAAGTAAGTTGGTATATTTGTGTAGGTTAATTACCAAATAGGGTATGATCAGGGACATGCTACTTTCAAGTAGTATTTGGTCAAAATTTCACCGTCAGATATATATTGTATTTTGTTCCATTTCTCTTTTTGTCTCAGTCTAGTGTATGTGTATTCTTTTTTTTTCCTGCTCGTGTATACTAAGTCAGAAGTAATCCAGTAAACCTACACGCAACAGGCCTAGCTATTACGTAGGCTCACTTTTCATTTCCGTATAAAATGATTTACAAAACATCCTTTCACCTTAAGGAATGTCGATGTTGTGTAAAATGTATTGTGCTTCGTTGTTTTTGCATGGATTATGAATAAAAGATAGCCTTTGTGCAGGTCACCTGATTTATTCATTGCTTAATATCTAATCCACAGATTCTACGGTTTTGTAAATATATAACCTTTTCGCCTTTTGTCTGCTCAGTTTAGGGGAGATTACCAGTCGATACAGTTACTTACTGATTCTAAGCATGGGCTTTATTACAGGGGACCAATAACTCAAATGATATAAAGTTATCCCTTAGAAAGGAGAGGATTGAGACGGTCAATTTGTTTATGTGTTCTACGAAATGGTATCGTTGTTGTAAGTGGTGTATAATTACCAAACAAACTGTATCAGAAAAAAATGGAATGGGTAAAAGATAGAGCAAACGGAGTAGTCGTCCCGACCGCAAAACACACTTGGTCTCTTCCGAGCATATGAATGTTGTTTTAGACAAACTTATTTTCAAGAAGAATATTATTATTCCGGCCAGAATAAGTCATTAACCGCATGTCTGCACAACTGTGGCTGAATCAATACCTTCCCCTTCAAAAGCAATAATCATCTACCTCGAAATAGGCTTTTAAGGATTTTTAGCGTATACGCACACATTCGTCAAGGATGATAAAAGAAATTATTTTAATCACGCATGGAAAGAATCCAACCACTACTAAATCAACAGCTTAATGCTGGAGAAAAGTCATCAAGCATGAAGATTCCAAAAACGAATTCCATATTAAGACCAATCTATTATCCTATGATATCAACTCGGAGGCAGAGCAAAACACCATTAAAACAAAAAAAATTGCCATTATCTGTAGTGTTTGAAGTACTAATCCAGTTATTTTATTGTCTAAAAATGAACCATCTATTTAGCAAAATGACTGTAAGTGTCATTAAACACGCTGATTTCTAGTGCGAGTTACACTTTAGGAATAAATCAAAGTTAAATGCACGATAATCGTGACGCTTGAGTTTTGTGTCGATAAAAGTGTTATTATTGGTTAAAGATAAAATTCTTCCCAGTGCGAGTTTCACATTAAGAATAAACCAAAATTAAAGTCACGATAATCGTGACGCTTGAGTTTTGGGCTGATAAAAGTTTTATTATTGGCTAAAGATAAAATCCTTTCCAGTGCGAGTTTCACATTAAGAATAAACCAAAATTAAATGCGCAATAATCTTGACTCTTGAGTTTTTGGTCGATAAAATTGTTATTATTGGTTAAAGATAAAGTTCTTTCGCGAGTTTCACATTATTAAACAACAATTAAAGGCACAATAATTTGGACTTTTCTGTTTTGGTCGATAACAGTGCTGTTATTGGTTACAGATAAAATTCTTCATAATTCTCCTGATGGAATTGAGTGTTGCTAAACGTGATTATGATCCATAAGACAAAATCAAAATACAAAATTGCTTTAGAGACACGATTTCACCGGCGAATGAAGTCGGATTAAAAAAATTGCAGCCTATGCCTATAACATTATACTACATCATAACAAGGTAACACCCTTAGTTATAATAAGCTTGGGAGCGAACTTCTTTACAGTGATCTGTTTAACGCGTGACTGTTATCGCTTTTGCCCAGTCGAAGGTACTCTCTAAATTTGAAAGTCTTATTTTTAAATCTTAAAGTCTTACTTTTAAATCTAACAGAGACTGATATTAGTGACGAACCCTTTGGGATTTAAAATAAGTCTAAGCTAAGACTTGAAATTTTAAGTCCCTGAAAAGGTTTAAAATTTAAGTCAATTGGATTTATATTTCAAGTCTTTTAATATTTATTTTAAACCTTTCTTGGATTCATTTCAAAAATAAATCTAAGCTAAGACTTAAAATTTTAAGTCCCTGAAAGATTTAAAGTTTAAGTCAATTGTATTTATATTTCAAGTCTTTTAGATTTACTGGTCTAGCTAAGCCATTAGAACCATTTGGTAAAACTTCCAGCCAATTGAACGGCAACAACACTTCAATACTGGTACGTCTGTATTATCAATTTAAAGGCATCGGTAATAAGTAGACTTATACATAATTTAATTAATCGAATTTTTTTCATATACTTGTATTTTATTGAAATTATTTTAGTTCATAGTTAATGTTTCCCTTATTCATGTTTAATTAAATGGAATTCATACGAAGTAGCGAAATGTCCTAATAACTTGTAATTTATATTTGTAGTATTTTCGAAATGAATTGCATATACCTAAATCATCAGTAATTAAGAAATATGCTGTAAATTCAGAAAAATTATTAAAAAAACATAGATCTGCACGCACCCCATATTCAATATGCAAATTAATTGGTGTCAGCTGGTTCAACTGGAAATATGCCAACAGTCAGTCATCAACAGGTGCAACTGGAAATATGCACATCTTATTGGCGAGAAGTTTAAGTCTTTCCAAGATTTATATCTAGAAGCTGGTTTCGATAAAACTTTTAGTCGAATTCCCAATTTATTAAGTCTTAAAGACTTGAAATATTTTAAGTCTCAAAATGGATTTAAAATTTAAGTCCTAGAAATTAAGAGAGTAACTGAGCGATGTTACACGCAAAGTGTCGCAGAGAGTAAACCGTCCTTAAAGAAGAAAGAAATCCTCGCATATCATCATAAATTGTAGTTTTTCTTTTACCTTGATATAAATAAGAAAGGTTTTTGTCAACTCGTGTTGATTTGCCACGCCGAATAATTTTTTCCGCAAGGTTTCTTCCTGTCTTCTGCCTCGCGGCCATTGAGGCGAAGATAGGTGGCAATGACTGGTTATAAAGAGTCATTATTCAGTGTGTGATTGATTCTTCTTGTTTTATTCAAGGGACCTCCTTCACCTTTCTTGACTTGAAGTAAGACTTTGACCTTTAATCATACTTCCGATCGAGTGGCATGCCACACGTATACCTCTGGTTGCACCTCCGAGATTGCAGTCTTCCCCTCTCTTTTCTCTCTCTCTCTAACTCTCTCGCCTTCGTTTTTTCGTTTAGTTGTGATTGATTTTTGCTTTGTTAAACCTATTAAATTTTGGTTGGTTTCTCTTCGTTATGTTAACATCTGAATAGTCATAAAAGTGGGCAGACACTTAACAATTTTATTTGTAATTGTCGCCATTCCTTCTTTCTACACGGATCGAAATTCCTGATATTAAAATGGTTAAAAACAAAACAAAAACGATTTTACATGTATCATCATAAAATTATAAAATTTAGGAGATTTTATCAAACAGTACAAAGCAAACAGAAATCCTTACTGGAACAAAAGTTCTCAATCTCAAATGTGCATGAGTATATGAGTTTCTAACCATGCTTCCTGAAATTGGACTTGTTTTTTCTTCATATATCTTGTAAAACACTCCTAAAAGTGTGAGATACCTCTTCAAAATTTTACTTCCAATTTTTGTCTACCTTTTAAATACAGAAAAATCAATCACTCCACATTTTTGACAGTTAATAATCATAATGTTAATCGTATCACGCCGAGGTTTACATATTGTAAAGTTAGAGGATGTCAAATTTATTGTCATGTTATTGAGTGTTATGATTTTCCTTTGAATACCATTCCGAAATAGAATGCCTTAAATTCTTAATTAGATTTCAATTACTTAAAATGCAACTCCGTGAAATGTGCGTGTGCCAGTAATTAATTCAGGATGCAACAATACCATTGTTTATCGCACCTGAATTTCAGCTGTGATGGGCAATAACATCAGAATTAATTACAGATAGTGACACACACAGATTTTGATTTTGCAAGAGTAAAATGCAGGTATCCAAAGCATTATATGGAGTATAGGGTTACATTAAAACGTTCTTGAACTTCCTCCAAATGAATTTGACATCAACTTTAAATTTTAAAATGTGAAAATCTCAAAGATTCATAGCTTTTGAGTTAATAAGTGTCAAAAGTATCCTTTTTGCAAATTACAATTCACCCCACTCGGCTCGAAAAGAGCTCACAGCGTCATACAACTTCGAACGTTAACCAAAAGAAATGTGTTTCTTTCCATATCATTTATATTCGTTTGTAATATATCGGTATAGTATAATTTCTTTCGACTACTTACATTCGTGTAGTCAACGTGCATGACCAGAGTGTAGTTCTTGAGAAAGTTTGGATTAGCATTGATATCAGCAACAGCCATGCGACCTGCTATCTCCAGCCCCTCCCATGTTCCGCCAGGAAACAACGCTACAAAGTGTATTTCACCTGGTACCGGATCACCGCCGGGCATCCCCGCAGAATTCAAGGCGCCATCAACCATGAGCCTCCCGCTCATCAGGCCCACGGCTGCAATCAAAGCAATCAGCATCATCACCGATTTGCGACGTTCCGTCTTCTTTGGCAGTGCATGTATATACATATATAAAGTTTGCGTTCCAATTTAAGATTTGCGTTTGAAGTCGCGAATATCAAACGTGCATGTACGATGCACAGATGTGGTTTGTAAAGGAATTTGATGTTTACTATAAATTATGTGGCTCAAAAGTTTCGCTTATAACACTTAGGCATGGTTCGGAAACACCGGAGTCAAGAGCTGATGGATAAAATTATGAGCAAACCAAGCTGCGCGCTTTTATCATGCTTTAAGAATTCCACTCATTTGGTACGCCATCTACGGGTATGCAAGATCATCGTCCAAAAGATATATAACGTCCGCGTGTACATGGATATCACTGAAAAGAAAATACGTGTATATATACTTTTAGAAATGTTTTTGTTTCTAAAGTAGAGTTGGTGCCCCCCTCCCCTCCTCGTCCTCTTATTTCCGATCCGCGGACATAAAAGAGAAAACCACCCTGAAATTTGTGGCCAAATGTTATATATTTGTTTGATTCTTTATTTGTTTTTTTTGGGGGGGTCTTTATTTCTTTTGACTTTTTTCTTTAATAATTTGGTTGAAAAAACAGGGGAACATTATTGCTAGGTTCTATAGTTGCTTTCATTTGCAAGATTGTCTTTGACAGGGTCTGTCTGGACAAATCTCTCTCCCCCCCCCCCACCTTTCCAACTGTCCAGGATCCGCTCCTGAAGCGGAAAAGTTACCGCCCCTTCCCCTGATTCCTACTCTCTTAAAAAAAAGAGGGAATTTTCACTCTATTTTCACTTTCTTGGGAGTGACGTCCGTGATCACTTGTTTAGGAGTGAAAATCGATTGATTTTAGAGTGCTCTCTAAGAAGAAAAGAGTGAATGTTCACTCTATTTTCACTACATTTTCACTCTCCAGAGGAGTGACGTCCGTGATCACTCGATTTTTTTAGAGAGATATACCGACACAAATATTATAGATCAGGTCAATTATTTCCTAAACCGCATTTTAGGTCAAGGGCATGTGCAACAGTCTCTAAAATCAAATCAATTCTGCGCTTAATTCCGATCGAGTCGTCGCCTAAGCAATTAAGCAAAGAGGCTTTTCAGTCATATTAAAACACGCCACGTCATTTGGAAAAAATGATGTCAGGAGCACATGTCAAATTTAAGCATGTCTTTCTTCCAGTTGAAGAGTCTCTACACTCTATGTGCCCCCTCCCCATCCATCCTTTCTGTTCCCTGCTTTATAACGCACCATGTTATTAAACTCACATTTATGCATATTTTGGTATAATGTTAAAGGAAAATAGAATGAACCTTCAAAGCGAACCTGCACGTAAGGGCGTGAACCTACCGAGTGGAGTGGCGTCATTTTATCAATCTCAGTGAAGAAGAGCGTAGAACACACTGAATGAGGCAAGGTTCAAAATGATGATCGGGGATGCAAGATAAAATGTATTCCACATTCTTAAAGGAAGGTTTGCAAAGAATAGCGCCATTACACTAACGACTCTGAATAGAGAAAACCAGCCGTAATCTTTTTTAATCGTTATATGTATGTATGTATGTGTGTGTATATATTATGTACACAACCATATATATATATATATATATATATATATATATATATATATATATATACACTATACAAAGAATTAAGACGACATAATGTTAAAAAAGGTGCGTTCCCTGCCAATTTACAGAGACTAGTCATTTGAAAAGATTTGCATTTTAGCTGCATCGTTCCATGATATGCAGTTAACGCTGGATCGGTCAAACTTGCGTGAAATAAAGTAATTTTCAAGAACTACATCTCTATTTCTCAAGAAACTGCAGGGGATATGTATACGTATACATGTATATCAATGCAAAATACTAAAATGAGACAGGAAAATGCGATGTCTGAAGCAAGACAGCGTATAGGGGGGGGGGGGGAAGATTTCATGATCAAATTACAATGATTTGGGTTTCTGATCTAGTTCACCGCATATACCACTCTGAAGACAGAAACTGCACGTATTGTCTCTTTAGAAGATAAAAGCTGTGTATTGAAAAGAATGTGACATTGAAATTCACTTGAACAAAAATAATGTGAACCAACGTCAAAACAAATTTTCCACGCATCTTGCGGATAACAGATATGGAGTATGAATGAACGAAATATAACCCAGATTTGGGAGAAGAGTGGGTGGGAAGAGAGAGAGAGAGAGAGAGAGAGAGAGAGTGAGAGTGAGGAACGAGGGAGAGAGGTCTCAAAAGGGCACAGAGAGAAATAAAGAGATGGAGAGAGGGGATGGGGTGGAAGAGTTGAAGATTACATTAAGTAAAAGCGAGTGTGTGTGTGTGTGTTAGAGAGAGAGAGAGAGAGAGAGAGAGAGGGTGGGGGAGGGGCTGAAATGGGACAGAAAATGATATTTTTTTGCCTTCAACCCTCTCCCTCTACCCCTCGCCCCCTCTACTCCTCTCACGCTCTCTCTCTCTCTTTCTCTCTTTATCGTCACCCCCTCTCTCTCTCTTTATCTTCCCCCTCTCTCTCTCTTTCCTCTCTCGTCATCTCTCTCTCTCTCTCTCTCTCTCTCTTTCAGCCTTTATTTCATATACGTATTTAACATTGTTTATTTCTTCATTTATTGCAGCCAAAAGGTTATATTTCAAATTCAAATTAACACAAATTAAACACCAACCGTTACATCACAATCAGACAATGGTAAAAATAATTTACACACAAAACTTATAATAGAGTAAACAAAGAGAGTGGTTCATAAATAACTGAATATCTATGTGGTGGCTACAATAATAAGATGTATGATGTCAGCTTAGAGCAATAAGTCTGTTTATTGTAAGAGATGAGGGAGTACACAAATCTTGTTTTTATGTTTTATATTAACAATGTCCTTTCCTTTAAAATGAAATGAAAATGAGGAACGCAAGTATAGTTCAAATCCTCCACTATCATGCAAAACTAAAAAAATGAAATAATAAATGAATAAATAATAGATACATATGTAGATAGATAAATAAATGAATAAATCAATGAATGAAAGAACAATTAGATAAATAAAAACCGACATCTGAATGTATCCTTTATATTTTCATATCGTTAAAGTCACATCAAGACATCTTGCTTTAGAATTCCGTGTATCTTTATATACATGGTACTGTTAAACCAAAAATCATTTCACAGAATTAAATCTAAAGGCCTAATAGTCCAAAATCTATTAAAAAAAAGGGGGAAATATGAAGAGTACTACTTTTCAGGTCAATGTTTGCGACTTGTCCTTAAGTGCGATCTTCGCGGCGAGAGAAAATGAAAATTGTATTCTTTTCAGCTTTTCAATGTCAATGTCCATTGTTAAGCAGTGGTCATGGAAACGCTTTGTGAGGAGAGCCATTATAATCTCTCTCGACCACACTACTTCATTACGTGTTTTCTATCTCAATACGTATACCTGTACTGGGCAGTCTCTTTGGCGGTCGCTTTACAATTTGAAAAAATCTTTCAAAGCCGAAGCTTTATCAGAAAACCATATTATCGTCTCGTCTATCCGTCTCTGTCAGCATGAGAGTGGGGATAGATGTGGCACGACGATCGTTTCCATGCAGATGCTTTCCGGGTTATTGTTCTCATTCCTCGATTGAAAAATCAGCGCCACAGCAAAGTACTACATCGACCTTTTCCAGGGTGGTTTCAGATTATATGACAATGGGAAAATGGGAAATTTCCTCTAAGTATCTGACAATGAGATGGAAAAAATTAGGCCTAAGATTACATTTTCAAATTTATTTTTGGGATCTATGATTTTAGAAGGGCCACAATAAGACAAAAATGTGGCCTATTTGTTCTTGGTACAAAATTTTGCGTACATTACCGGACCTTGGATAGCCAATATCAATCGCAGGAGATCACACGATATCCAGCGTTTTTAATAATGTAAAGTTGAAGGAAACTATATGCAACGAAAGGACATTTTAATATTTGATTAAGTTTGTGTGCAATTATTCAATTCAAAATTTTGATGAGAGTAATGACTCTCTATATTTAGAACAATAAGTGTCGAATCCTTGATTCTCTGGCAGGGGAGGGGCAAAAAGGAAAAAACAAAAAAATAAAACAAAACAAATTTTCATGGTTTAGGGGGGGGGGGGGGCAGGGGATGGATGAATAAGAGGGGGTATTTAATTTTCATACTTGATATGTACTGGAAAAAAAACATGCCAGATTTGGTCTCACGGCATAGGGGCCCGTGCCCCCTTACCCCCTATATGCACCTTACCACTTCAAAACCCGTGTTAGGAGGCTAGGAACTAAAAGCCATGTACTTAGCATGCTCGAGTTTAATTGCATTATCGCGCAAAATTGCACAATGCACAATTAGACGGGAAAATCCTTTCATTTCCCTTCCACCAAAAATGTACCACAGCAACCCCAAAAACATGTCGAAATACTATAATCCCTGACCTTGAAAGACACAGATAATGAAAAAAAAAAAGGAGACTTAAATTTAGAAGTCGTATAAATTATATCATATGAGAAAGTCAATGGGATTACAACAAAAATCCTTTCAGAATACATTGTACTCTTTAATCTTATTATGCCGGTATTCCGAAGTCTTGTGAACCCTAAAAAATAATTTCAGAAGGCTTACAAGACCGACATATCGGTCTCGTCTCCTCGGAATGAATTTTGTCAGAAAGTTCGTTGCACCAACATTGTCGGTCTCGAAGGATGTTGGTCTCATGGGTTATTGGTGATGAAAAATGAAAATTATATTAATACTATTAAGAAGAATGATAAGAAGATGAAGAGAATAAAAAGCGGGTAGAACATTGTTTTTCCAAAATGAGGTCACAGATGAGGTCGCAAACTAAGCCTTATTATCACATGCAAGATGTATATAACTGTAATTAAAGTAAAACTGTAATTAACTCGTATCTTGTTTGTCATTATTCCTGTGCTTTGATAATCATGTGGGCATTCAGTATTTTGAAGATTTTGTCATGCCATTAGGTACATCCTAATTAGATCCTTTGAAATCATCAATAGACGTCATTAAGGTTGGGTTAATGAGGACTGACCGTTTTTATATATAAAATCTTATGCGTAAAATAAGTTTGGATATAACATAACAAAATTGGATAAGTACCATGTTTTGATACAAAACGTAATTTGGATAATAACATAACGGCAAACATAACTAAAAAACTAGGCCTGTACATAACATCATATCACTACATAAAATACAACCCCTGGCAGTGAAAAATATCTCTCAAAAGTTCAAAGAAATTTCTTTTTTTTTAAAGAAAAATCAAGAAACATTGATTTGATTTTTTCGTGGACTTATCCTTCCTACACAAATGTTGCTGCTCGTGAAATTTATACACAGAGTAGTTGATATTGGAGCAGAAGGCCTGAATTATACAGAATTTTTCAACGTGCAGCGAGAAGGCGACTTGTTTAACTCACCAAGACGCCATGTTTAAGACGAGGCGAGTTTGTAACTCGCCAAGGCGCCTTCTCGCCATCTCCATGTTCTCGTCCGAAAGCAAGGCGCCTTGGCGAGTCGTATAAACTAACCTTCTCACTTTCTCGTCTAAAGAAAGGCGCCGTGGCGAGTTTTAACAAGTCGCCTTCTTGCCTTCTCTTCTCGCTGCACGTTTAAGCTTCCATACAATAAACCTTAAAGACAACTGGTATACATTATGCATTTTGGTCACGTCAGTTGAATTCTGACATCGTTGCATATTGCTTGACCATTACCGTGGCAACTTTTTTTCAGATCCAATACCATCCAGAGAGGCACAAAATTGTAAATGAGAGTAAAAACAAATGACGTTTAATTTCTCTTTCGAATATGACATTCATTCCCACGTACGTACGGACAGGTACCAACATCGTTGAGAGAGAAATAGCTACGA